GCTGAACCGTTGCAGACTCCTTAGGAGGCGCCGTGCCATGGACTGCAATGACGAGGCCGAGGATCTGGAGGCCACTCTGTGTGTAGCGGGGGAGATTTCTGTCCTCGGGATAAGCTGCTTCGTCACCGTCTTCTGGATCAGGTAAGAAATTTGGTCCTATGCGTTCTGCTTCGTCGGTGTTGACCCTTGCAGGTGTAACGTAACTAGTGTCGGCGAAGTCGTAGTAGACTTCGGCGTTGATGCTGTCGCGAGGGTTTTCGTCGTCCATGGGAACATCGACCGAACAGTAAGGTAGAGGTCCGGCTGCTTCCGAGGCTCCGTCCACGTTCTGCTCGTCCAGGTCAGCTTCGTTTGCTGCCGAGGTGAAGGCTCGGTCACCGCGAAAACCACTTGTGAGGTCCCGTTGTTCTTCCAGGTTGGCAAGGTACGTTGGGAGTGTGAGCCGTTCGTAGAAGATGACATCGCGTGCTGGTACTGTTTCTTTTGAGTGGACGTCGAAAATTTTCCACGCGTTGTAGTTCTTTTCGATGCCCAGGTGTAGTCCCCACTGTGCACGTTGGGAGAATCGGCCGGCTCTTGCAGCTGGGGGTCGGTTCTGTACCATGCAGCCAAAAACCCGTAACATTTTTGTGCTGCCCAGTTTTCCTGTCCACAGCAGATGCGGTGATGCGTTGTTCGGGAGTGACGACGAAGAGAGCAAGTTGTGCAGCATGACGGCGTGGTCCATCGCTTCAGGCCACTGGTGGTTGGGTAGCCGCATGCCACGTAGCAGTTTGCGCATGGTGTTCTGCAGAGTCCTGTTCATTCTTTCTGCCACGCCTTGCTGTTGATGAGCGTAGGGAAGGGAGATGAGCCTTTTAATGCCTCGTTCCGCCAGGTACTGCTTGAATCGCTGTGACTGATATTCTCCTCCCCCGTCTGTTTGAAAGCTTTTCAGTTTTACTCCTGACTCTCGTTCTGCCGCTGGGAGCCAGGCGACGAAGGCTTCGAAGGCCATGTCTCGGCTAGGAAGGTTGAAGTGCCAGACGTAGCGTGTGGCGGCGTCTATGAACGTGATGACGTAGCTGTATGTTCCTTGTCCGGGTTCACGGTTGTACAGGATGTCGCTGTACACCTTCTCCAGTGGTGCGTACGCTGGTGCGCTCGGGTTGTGGTGAGAGACGAACGGCTGATGCGGTAAGTCGGCTTCAGGACAGGTGAAGCATGTTCCTCTGACTCGTTGGAGTTCTCTCCCGTCGTGCAGTAGTAGTGAATCTTTGTCGAGCACTCCTGCTCTTATCGTGTTGTTTAACGTTGTGTTGCTTGGGTGTCCCATCCGTGCGTGCCAGATGTCTTCGCTGGCGCGATGTCCGGGTGAGCGCCGATACATGTCGGAGTTGGAGTAGAAGCCGGTGGTGAAGTTGGCGCTTCGGTGGACTTCTCGTTGAGTTGGAGCTAGTTGCTGCGCGGATGTTGGTGGCGAATCGTCGATAAGGATTGGTGTCGTTGAAGGACCAACGATTGGCGTCGTTGTTATTTCTGTTGTCGGTGTTGATGTTCCTGCTGCTGCTGTTGTTGTCTCTGCTGCTGCCGTTGCTGTCGTCGTTGTCTCTGCTGCTGCCGTTGCTGTCTCTGCTGCTGCCGATGTTGTCTCTGTTGCTGCCATCGTTGTCTCCGCTGCTGCTGATTGTTGAATTGTTGCTAATGCTCTTGTTCGTTCTGCCTCAGGTATTGTGTGAGAATGCCAGAAACCGCTCGGACTGAAGTCGGGATCAAGGCCCGGTGGATGTGTCCAAGGGGCAAAGCTGACGATGCCGTCGTTGTCGGCAGTGCCAAGATCTGGAACGAAGTCGAGGACGAAGACGTTGTTCTTCAATATGGCCTTCCCGATGTAAAGTCCGCCCTTCCCGTGGTACAGTTTGAATTCTTGAGTGGAGCTGTCTGCCTCGAGGTGGATCTCTTTCGCCATTAATTGACTGACGCTTAGTAAGTTGTAGCCGAGTCCTTCTGCTATTAAGACCTTCGTCATTTGCAGTATGACGTTTGTCTCCCGTGACTGAAGTTGAACCACGCCTTGTCGTCGTGTGCGCAGGTTTTGGTTGTTGGCGACGGTGATGACTACTTCGCGTTGGAGTTGGTACTCTTGCTGCATGAAGCGTCCTGAAGAGCACATATGCTGCCCGCAGCAACTGTCCAAGAACCAAGTGTCTTTTCCCGACGGCTCACTTTGGGCGATAGCTGCATACGTCGGATTTGGTTGGCTGCAGTGACTCGCGGCGGGGCGTGCTGTTGTCGAGTTGTTCTTCTGGTGAGTAATGCGGTGGTGACTCGGTGATGCAGGAATCCATTAATTTGGCCATATAGCTGACAATGTTTCTTGCTCCTTGTGCAGGTTGTCCTGTCGATGTCGTTGAGACTTGTACTTGAGTGGTGGGATTCGCTTGTGTTGAGGCGACTTGACTGCTCGAAGGTCGAAGTTGCCGCTGCGTCGTTGTCGACTAGTTGGGGCAGTGTGTGCGCGGGTGCCCTGACGTCTTGCAGATATGACAGAACGGAGGTACGAGCTTTGGTTGATGTCGATTGTTGTTGTTGTTGTTGTAACGCCGTTGAGTGTGAAAGGCGAATTCCGGTGCTGACGTCTTCTTCTTGAGTCGTTCTTCTTGCAGGTCCATGTCTTGCTGCTCGGCGTGAATTTCAGAGCAAAGTGCTGCTTCGGAGATTTTTCCGTGAGCTCGGAGGATGGCTCGGGTGGAGCGCCATTGAGGACCGAGGCCACCGATGACGACTGTTACGAAGGCTTCTTCGGCTATTGATCCTCCGCATCGAAGGAGTTTGTCGCGCAGTTCGCGACAGCGACTGATATACGCCATCCCTTTTTCGCCTGGTTTCATTTCCACTGTTGTCAATTGCGCCATCAACCGACTTTGATTGACGCTGTCCGTTGCTTGATACAGGTTCTTCAGGTGGTTGTACGCGAGCTCGGCAGAGTTGCCGTATCCCCGGTAAGATCGAATGTTCTGCTGCTGACTCGGAGTGATGTTTCTCAGCAGGATTGTGTATGCCATCATTGACTGATATGTATACTGCTGCTTGTCGTATTGTGTGCCGTTTGTTGGATATGGCAGGGACCCGTCGAAGAAGCCAAGAATCTGCGCGCCTTCCATCATCAGCTCAAACTCGAATGACCAGGTGAAGAAGTCTTTCCCGTCGAACGGTCTTGATGTTTGTAACTTCAAAACGTGCGCGAACTGCGACTGAGCTTGAAGTGCGTCTAAGTTCTTCTCTTGTCCAGGTGAAGGTTGCTGATACGGCATGAAGCTGACGGAGCCACGCTGGGGCTCGTACGGAGCAAAGGTAGGCTGCTGTTGTTGATTTCCGCGTGCGTAGGAAGAACCGTCGAGACTCATCGGTGTCGCATTGTTGTCATTGCTGTTGTTTGATTGCGCAGGTCCCGCTTGCTGGTGCTGCTCGTAGAAGGACATAAAGGAGAAAAATTTCTCCATCATACTTGGGTCGAAGCCTGAAGCTTGGTTCGCGGGAGTTTCGGTAGACCCCGCTGCTGGTCTTGTTGCCGGGTTCTCCTCCGTTTGCAGGCCAGAGGCAGGCGGTGGTGTAGGGGTAGTTCCGTGGGAGCCGTTAGAAGAGCTCCTTTCTTTCTGGGTAGCCATGTCTAACGCTGTTGTAGTAGATTCATTGTAGTTGAGTTTTGCCCTGACTGCTCTGATACCATGTTGGGCTGAGAAAAGCCCTTAGAGGATCTTTGCAGGACTAAACTCTGGTAGGAACAATGTAATAGCGGAAGCGTTTCTTAGTGAGAATTGTTGAACCACCTTGCGCTGGTATGTGAGGGCAAAGTAAGTTGATTAAAGCAAAGAGATACAAGATTATATAAGAGTACAAGGAATATGAAAGGATACAGCTATAACTGTTTTATTGTTGCTGTTGCGGTTCGATACAGTGACGACTCGGGCAACTGCTCTGTAACGAGTCAGTTGTGTGTCCTTGCTGTCGCACTGTACTAGTCAGGTCAAAGGTCGCTGACCTTTGACTTTCGCGTAACCTCCAGCGGTTACTTCAACCTCTGAGGATTGACTCGCCGGTGCTTCGATATGCTTTGCTTCGCTTGTGACTTGGTGTTTCGCCACGACAGAAGCGCTTTAAATCAATTGTTTCCAACACACGGTAGGGGTAGTTAGGCGCAGGGGAATATTACTCGGATGATGCTAGAGGCTGATTCGTTCCTCCCTACGCCGAACTGAAATGCAATACAGCAGTAGCGCAACGCAACGGCTTGCAGGGCCAGGCAGCAGCACCAGCAGCTGTTGTGTGGCACTGGCGGTACGGTAGATGTCAGAGGTCCACTGGAGATCCCCGATGATCCTAGGGAAGGGTTACAGGCATGTTGGCCTGGGGGGTTATGGGCGCACTCACCCGCTACACAAACAAGCCCTTTTATCCCAGTGGTTAGTGACTGGGATTCTGACAGTAGATGCCATGCAATGCTACACACACACACACACACACACACACGTAAGGCACAATACAGAGGGTTGGCCGAGCAAAGCAGGCAGTATAGTAGCTGTAGCTGTGATACGACAGTTGCTGCTGGTTAGATAGTGACCCTCTGTGCCAGCCTGACATGCCCAGCCGCAGTGCAACGGCTTGCAGGGCCAGCAGCAGCAGCAGCAGCAGCGCCAGCTGTGTGTGGCGGTGGGTGGGATGGGATGGGATGGGATACGGTCTGATGGGCTGTGGTGCTCATGTCTTCAGACGTCCACGGTATTGGCAAGGCAGCAACAATGTCAGTGGTGAATGGTGGTAGGACACACTCTGCCCTTGGTTACAGCCTGTGGGAAGTTAAGATTACAAATTGCAATGTATACAATTCTTTCACCATAGCTCTAGGTCTCTACCCAATATATTTTTTTTGGGGAGTGGCTGTTTAGATCCTACGGTATCAGTGCTCATCTGTATTGCTAATTTAATTGCACCAATGTCAAGTTATACTCAATTCCAGTGTTTCAGGGACCAAAGGCTTCTGGTGGGGGAGGCAGCATCTGCAGACCTCTGGAGTCGAGCAGCTGCACTAAAGCGAGGTAGCCTATGGCGAGGATGAGAGAGATGGCTCCCGTGACAATGGCCGTCACCTGGCCCTTCACCATACCTGCTGGGGAGCAAGCACAGAGGAGAGAGGAAAAGGAATGGAGCACATGGGGCAAGAGGGAGGGAATGTGTGGTCAGTCACTGCACAGTCAGAGCAGTGCAGTCAGGATGGAAGAAATATCGTAGCTCCTGTAAACAATAGCAGTCTGTGACAATGGCGGTTGCCAGTCACCTGGCCCTTTGAGACATCTCAAAGGTCACAAAACCTGCTGAGGGAGCAAGCGAATATGGAAAGGAAAGCGAAATGTTTACACGGAGAGCGAAATGTTTACACGGAGAGCGAAATGTTTACACAGAGCGAGAATCGTAATGAGTGGGGAGTTTGGCTCGGCTCTTCTCTGCTCTGTTCTGCTTTGATTGTAGTGCATACGTACATGATTTCTGCTCCTGAGAGGAAGAGGAATGGGGGCGAGAGGGGGAAGGAGCCGGAGGAAGGGAGGAGGAAACGGGCAGGAAGGGGGCCGAAACGGGAGGGGAGGGGAAAGGTGCGGGAGAGGGGGAAGCAGGAAGGCAAGGGGGAAAACGGCTGGCTGGCTGGGAGAGAGGAAGGGGGAAGATAGGAAGTGGAGGTCTGGTTCTGAGGGGCTAGAAAACGAGAGAGAAGCAGGTAGGCAAGGGGAAAAGGGCTGGCTAATGCTGGGGGAGAGCAGGGAGGGAGGGGAGGGGAGACAGGAAGTAGAGGGGGGGGGGCGGGGGGGGGGGGGGGGGGAGAGGGAGAATGGGAGGAGGGTGGAAGGCAGGGAGTAGTGAGAAGAAACACCCTCCTTGTTTCTTGTGGAGAGCCCATCCCAATCAAGAAAGCAGGGAGGGTGGAAAGCAAAGCACCTGTTTTCTTGATTGGGTGGAAAGCATGTACAGCCACGCCAGCCTTCGCGTCGCGATTAGGTTTGCTCCATCACGCCGTTGAGCTAGGCTAGGTACGATCGTTCCATTCCACGAGTCAATCCTGCTTCAAGTATTCTACTTGGTTATCAATCCTGCTCTAATGTCCTACAGCGACACCGTTACTTCGTCACCGCTACGGCGTCACCGCTACGCGTCACCGTTCTACCAGGCTTGCCGCGATCGACGGCTTATACGTCGTGAATTATCAGCAGATTATGTTCGCGACCAAATTGGACCGAACCTAGCCGGACATAGAATAATCAACCCGAACCGAGTTGAAAAAACTCCGTACTGAACCGGGTCAAGCCGAGCCGGTTTCGTTTTAAGTTCGCACCTTGCTGTGGAGGAGGCGTGGTGAGTTGCGCTACTGGCGGGGGCTTCGGCGAAGCTTCAGCCTGCGAGGTCTCTGCGGAGCCGCTCTCGTCCGACGAAGATCGCGCCGCGATCGAACGCCTTAACGGCATTGCTCGCCTTGATGCACATTCACGCGCTCCGGTCGCCGTGAATCGCGGCAAGGTCGGCGCTGCTCGTCGTGTCGTGCAGGAAACACGTGGAGCGAGTGACGGGAGAGAACGAAGCGACGACGCGTTTTGACGAAGACCAGGGGAGGAAAGAATGTGACACGTGCATGACGTGGAGCTAGGGAATACGGTGGCGGCAGCCATTGCTGGTGTCTGCGTCACAGACCACTCTCCACAACAATCCGTCCGCTCTCGCTTTCATGTGTGGCACCACTATTGTGACCACACCCTCTCGTAACGAATGATTGCTTTCAACGTAATGCTTCGTTGCGTAGGTGGACATAAATGGTGCATTGATAGTAACGAGTGGGTTTATGTAAAGGATATACAGACTTACGTGTCAAAGTGCTGTTGTGGGACGTGGGCGGGCTCGAACGTGGTCCAACCCGAACCAAGCAAGTACTGTACTGGTTACGTGTACAATTCAGCGAACGAGCGGGGATTGCACTATCGGAGTAAAAGAAAGTTGTACATCATTGTACGTGGTGCCACAATTCTCTACAACTGGGTTTGTTCTAGCCGAGGATACCGTTTCGGCTGTTTCGTTCGCATCAATCACACTCACCAACTGGGCTCGTTCACTTTCTGGGCAGAAAGTTCGTGCCTACCCAAACTCCATATCCCCGACCTTCGGTCAGTGGTGTACTGTACAGATTGAATGGTCCCATAAAACACTGTACAAACAGAATGGTCCAAAAAAAAAAACTGTTCGGGCAGGTGGACACAGAACCCCCCACCACCAATCCCCCAGTAAACTTTCGCGCCGGTCCGGTTTGACGAGGTCTGTTACGTTTAAAAACGGTCTTAAATCTTTAAAAATGGTTTAGTCAGGTACCAAGGTAAACTAAATTTTTGAAAACCCACTGCTAGAGATGGCTATAGTCAACTTTCCGAATACGTCCAAGAAACATTACCCTTGTTCACACTGGTCCACAGTTTCTGCTGCGAAAAACAGGTGCATTTCTTACGCGGTAATAAGATGGGACGAGATACGCTGTTGTCGTATCACACTGTGTGCGTCCCTCACGACAACCGCACAGTCCAACCAGTGAACATAGAGACAAACACGCTCAATCATATAGTATTATCACTTGCCTATCTGGTCTGTGCACCACCACTCTTCGTCGTCACGTCACGTCAGTTCATCGTCCGCTCTGTTCATTCAGAAGTCGGTCGGTAGCTAGCGCAGTTTTGCTAAATTACAGTTCCGGAACGTAACAAAACATAGATAACCGCTAATAAATCTGTGACTTCACAAGAAACATCTTGGACATGCAGTCTTCCCACTTTTCGCACACACCATTAGGGGAGCAACTCACTCGATATGGCCTTGGATTCCCTTCGGCATGAGTGACGCGTGTAACTCTCAACGAGCCGAAATGCCATGAACTCTCTACTGTTTTGCGTTCAACAAACCACCCAAGTACGTTTTGCCCCCTCTACTAGCCCAACTTAGCGCCTCGCTTATCCTTCGTTACTAGAAGCACATCCTCATGGGCTCAAACGTGGGAGACTCGTTAAGCCCGATATTATCACCCTCCATACCCCCATCCAAACTTCCTCGATTTTTAGACAGGCCAAGAACCCTCCCCCCGCCGCGCTCCCGCTGCGCGCCAATTGAATGCCCTGGCGGGCCCCGCCCGCAACGCCGTGCGCGGACCTTGGATTCTTCCGCGCCCGCGCAAAGCCCCAGGCATAGCCGACTCTCCCCCAGGTCCCCGCAACCCGCGGTACGATGGGCGGAAACTATCAGCGGAAGAGAGAGCGACCGGGTGCTTTCCCCCTCAAATCTTTCCTCCGACGGTTCCTCCTCCGCGCTGCTTTCCCCGGAAGGCTCCGCCGCCTCCGCGCTTCTTTCCCCCCGCGGCGGAAGCTCCGCTTCCACCGCTTGGCGCCCTGCAGCGCTCACCCCCGTGCGCAGCCCGCACGCGACGGCGATCCGTCATAGAGCTACCTCGTCAATAGACATGGAGGAGCTTTGGGCAGACTTCAGTCTCGAAGAAGGCGCTGCGCAAGATTCGGACACCGCATTTGGTGGCGCCGCCCCGGCGGGCGGGGCTGGCGGAAATGGCGCGGAAGGGCGCCGGGGGCGGCAGAGGGGTCACGCGCGAAACATTTCGTTTTCCGACTTTCGGTCGTTCCTGAAAGAGAAACCGCGCGACGGCGACGCGAAACCCGGCGAAGTTGACTCTGGTAATCTCTCAAAAGGGCAGCAACAGAGCGACGCGACGGCGACGGCGGCGGCGGCGACCGCGGCGGCGCCAGCACCCAGACGTCGCCCGGCGCTGTCGCGTCTTTTCTCCAGCCGCCGAGATCCTTCCTCCGCGTCTCCCGCCGCGTTGGACGGCGCGTATAGCGGCGTCGCTCCGGCCATCATCCCCGTTTCTTTCTCCTCCATGTCTTTCCGAGGGCTACGGGACACGTCAGCCGGCAATGACGTGGAATATTACGGTGGCGTCGTGCGATGCTCGTCTGTGGAGACGAAACACGCGCCGCTCTCTGCGCGGCTTGCTGCGAACGACACTGCCGCCGTGCCGAAATCCCCTCGGGCCGCGGCGCGCAGCGCAAGCTTTAGACGGAATGCCGGCGCGGGGACGGGAACCTCAGGAAAGAGTATGAGCGGGAAAGAACCAATGATGGTCGTTCCTTTCACGCGACGCGTCAAGGGCGCGTCGCAGCAGCAACCGCAGGAGCCCTCGCCGCCGTCGCAGAAGCGACGCGGCCGCCGCGGCTGGCAGCCGCCGCAAGGCAAGCAGCAGATCGAGCGGCTCAACGAGGCGCGTCTGGACGAAGAATCGAAAGCGGCGATTGGCGCAAACCGCGCGGAACGATCGGAAGCGGCGGATAAGGGCGAGGAAAGGGGAGCGGAATCAGGGAAGGAGGGGGAGGAGTCGGACGAGGAGGGCGGAGGGGAGGGGGGGAGCGCTGCGCACTCACGTCCGCGCATCGTCTTCCGCGAGGTACAGAAAGCTGGTCCGACGGGAATGGCGCGCAGGGTGGAACGAACAGTGGGGAAAGCGCCGGAGGAAGCGCGGGCAGCGGATGATGTGCTGGAGAACGCGCGGAAGGGCGCGTCGTTTGATCCGCGCGCATCTGGTCCGCGTGGCGGCTTCCGCCAAGCGAGCCCGCGGGGCACTGCGGCTAGCAGCCTTGCGGGGTGGCGGGGACTCGCCCGGCAGGGGGACGGAGCGGAACGGATTGGAGCAGCAGTGGAAGCATTGGGGGAAGCGGTGGGATCGGGGGAACCGTGGTTGGGGACTGGGGAGACTTTGGGGAGTTGGGGGAATGGGGGGTGTGGGGGCAATGGGGGGAGTGACACGGATATAGTAGGCTCCTTCCGCGATATAGTGACTCACTCGCGGAGCGGGGAGAGCCTGCGCGACGGGATTGCGCATCTGACGGCCGCGGCGGCAGCTGTAGCGCTGCCGTCGCCGCCTGGCGGATGCGGAAGGGAGGGCGCCGCGGCAGGGCTTGGGGACCGGGCGCGGGACGCGGAGCTGGGAGGACGGGCGGGGGCGGGGGCGGGGGCGGGGGCGGGGGCGGGGGAGGGGAATGTGAAGAGCGGGGAATCGTCTTGGCGCATGGCGAGTCTGAGTCACGGTATTGGGGAGATAGAGGCGGGCGCGCGGGGGGGAGGAGGAGAGGGGGGAGGCGCGGGCGGAAGGGAGGAGGGAGGAGAGTACAGCACGTGGCTCGGGGAGGGGGAGGGGGAAGGGGAGGGGGAGGGGGAGGGGGAAGGGGAGGGGGAGGGGGAGGGGGGGGAGGGGGGAAGAGGAGAGGCGACCTGGCGCAGATGCAGTCTGAGCTACGGCATGGGGGTCGGGGGGACGAGCGCGGAGGGGAATGCATGGCGCATGGCTAGTCTAAGCAACGGCATTGGGGTCATAGAGGAGGGGGAAAGGGGGAAGGAAGGAGAGGATGGGGAGGTACTAGAGAGAAGAGATGACGGAGGGGGGAGAGAGACAAGGGACGGAATGAGGCGAGGAGTGGAAAGAGGGGACGGCGAGGGGTTACGATGGGAAGAGGAGAGTGGAAGGCGAGAGGGGGAGGTGGGGGAAGGGAAGGAGGGCGGGGAAGAGGGGCTGAGGGTGGGGCGAGAGGGGCTGAGGGTGGGGCGAGAGGGGCTGAGGGTGGGGCGAGAGGGGCGAGAAAGGCAGAGCACAGCAGCGGAGGGGATGCAAGACATGCTCTTGGTGAGTGACACAAACGAGAGTGATTCAAACGAGAGTGACTTAAACGAGAGTGACCCACCCGTTTCCGGGAAGCCTCAAGCGCAGCAGAAGCGTCCAATTCCAACCCCTGCCAGCACAGGTGCCAGCACAGGTGCCAGCACGATGGGACCCGTGGATTCTCCTCTCCTCCTCCACCTCTCCACCGCTTCCCCTCCCGCTCCGCCTTCCCCTTCCGCCCACCCCGCCTCCCCCGCGTTCCAGTTCCCCCTCCCCGCGGGGGTCCGCTCCCCTGTCTCCCCCTGCTCAGGCGGACAAGTAGGGGAGGGGGGAGCGGAGGGGAAGGGGAGAGGGGGAGGCGTGCATAGGAGCGCGAGTGATGGGCTGTTGCAGATAGGGATACGCATTGAACAGCTGCAGGCAGAGCAACAGGAGGAGGAGCATCAACAGCGGGAGGAGGGGCGTCAGGGGGGTGGGATGGAAGCGGGAGGGACGGAAAGCGATTCTCTAGCAGACACAGAACGAGTAGCAGCAGATGCGGAAGCAGGGTTTGGCACGGTATCAGGCACGGTATCAGGCACGGTACCAGGCACGGTACCAGGCACAATATCAGGCACGGTATCAGGCACGGTACCAGGCACGGTACCAGGCACGGTATCAGGCACGGTACCAGGCACGGTATCAGGCACGGTACCAGGCACGGTATCAGGCACGGTGTCAGGCACGGTATCAGGCACGGTACCAGGCACGGTATCAGGCACAGAATCACACCCGTCAGGTGCAGAATCAGGCAGAGCTGAGACAGGGGTTGACACAGGGGAAAGCCTTTCAGCAGCAGATGCAGCAGAAGCGGGGAAACCTGCCGGCATTTCCGCAGCAGAGGCAGGGGTTCACACAGAATCAAAGGCAGCAGGAGCAGAATCAGGCAGAGCAGAGACAGGGGTTGACACAGGGGGGAGCCCATCAGGTGCAGTATCAGACGCAACAGAAGCAGGGAGACCTGCCGGCAGGAGTGGGGGCCGTGCTGGCACGAGCAAGAGCAGCAGGACAGGGCGCCGCGTGCAGTTCAGTGATGTGGTGAGGGTGAGACGCGTGCTTGTGGCCTGCCCCAGCAGTGACTCTGCCGGGCCTGACGCTGAGCCTAACGGGATTGATTCCGAGCGTGATGCCGAGCCTGATGCCAAGTCCGATGATGAGCCTGATGGTGGCTTTGATGCCGAGCCTGATTCCGAGCCTGCCGCTGAGGCTTGGGGTGGCTGTGATGGGGTTTTGGATGGTGACTTGGGTTCTGTTGCCGACCCTGCTGCTGATTGTGCTGATGGTGTTTCTGCCAATGATGGTGATGTTGATGATGCTGACAAAATGACAGTTGAAGGAGATATGGCTTTTAGGGGAAAGCTTGTAATATGTGCTGCTGCTGATGCTACTGTTGCCACTGCTGCTGGTGCCTCAGGCAGTAACACAGCGTCGTGTGCTGCTGGCAATGATGTTGGATCTATCTCTAGGACCGATGCTGCTGCTGCCACAGCAGATGTTGCCGTTTCTGTTGATGCTGCTGCTGCTGTTACGGCGGCTGCCGCTGCTACTGCTACTGCAACTGCGGATGTTTCAGTTTCAGTTTCTGCCACTGGTGCTGCTGCTGCTGAATCAGATCCCTCGGATCCCCTCCTCCTCTCCACATCCTCCCCGTCCGCATCCCCCGTAACATCCTTCATCCCTGAAACTAAATCCCTTCCTGTTATGTCTACAACAATTTTAATCGACCACAGCGCGCCAATTGCCTCTCCTTCCCCCGCCCTCCCGCACTCCTCCTCTTCCTCCCCTTCTCCCGCCCCCTCGCCGGGTCGCAAGTTCCTCTCCTCGCTCACTCGCTCCTTCTCGCGCTCGCGGCTCAGGAATCTCACCCCTCCCCTCTTTTTTAGCCCATCCAAGCGGAGCGGCGCAGCAACTGGAGAGGGGGGTTTGGGCTCAAGCAGAGAGGCACATTTTAATCAGAATGGGGAGTTTGGAGAAGGGGCAAGAGAGGGTGTGATTGGAAGGCTAAGGGCTGAGGTGGTTCTTAAGAAGTATCAGAAGGGGTTGGAGAAAGAGGGGGTGCTTTCGAGCGAAGCGTGCGAGCTGGGCGTGCGAAGATCGCTGCTTCAGAGCCTTCCTCCTAGGCCAGAAGCAGGCTTGGAAGTAGGTTCGGACGCAGGTTCGGGCATGTCAAGGCTTGTGCCTCGGTCCGTATCTGCAATGGAAGCTGGTCAGGTGGATTCCAAGGCGCGGCAGAGATGGGTGAGAGTGCTGCGCTTGCCAAGAGTTGGTGGCTTCAGTGGAGCCTCTAAAGCTTAACGGGTCAACCCATAACAAGGCTACTTGCAGAGGCGTGAGGAGCCTCAAAGGTTACTTCTCATTTTTTTATCTGATCGAGTCAACTCAACAGGGGTACAGGGGGTTTGAGGGTGCTGAGTTTGCAGAGTTAGTAGGTCACACTCACAATGGAGCTTCCACGTCCTGATCTGGTGATAGGTATGGCAAGACATGGCATGGCACGACAGACATGACATGGTACCGCTTATGGCTTGTTAGAGCCTGCACTGTTCTTTTATTTGCTGATTTATTAGCACGTTGAATTAACAGTTATTGAGGGCATTGCTTCTCTTTCTACCAGGCTATTGCCCCCTGCAGGTAGAGATTTTGTTTTATCTCAACTGTACGAGTGGAACAACTCAAGCAGCTAACAGATAGCTGTATTTTTCTTTTGAGAATCAGACCACACAATTTGTAATCTTCCAACCTCACTGCTGTTCTGCATGCCTGACAGTAATTCATGAATACGAGTACACGTGCATACGAGCCAGAACATATACGTACTTAGGTGCTGCATGTTGAATTCTTCATTCGTCTATTGATTGTACACCTATCCCGCGCCAATTTCACACCCCCTCTGTTTTCCCTTAAAGCCCTTTGGCCTTTTCTGACTATAGGGATCAGACACCCCGGAACTGGAGGCTATCCGTGGCATCGTAAAGTGTCGATATTGTAAAACTCTAACTCTGTGATTGCAGCGCAAAGGCTGGACCATCGATGCGACCATGTTTCTTTTTGTTTTGCTGCTTACTCTTGTGTGGAGGCCAAATCGTTTGAAACAACCCTCAATTTCGGGTAAGTAAGGATCAAATACACGAGGTGTGAAATTGGTAGTAGTGAATTTAGCGCGGACCATGTGTAAACGCAATTCTTCTGGCAGAATCACCATCCAGCCATTCCATCGTCGTTCGCATGTGCGACGACGGATGACTAGAGCGTTCAGGCGAGGGTGTGTGTGAGTGACCTCCTCACTACAGTACAGTGCAGTAGCCAGCCAGCTTGTCTTCGCTCCACATGTGTCTGTCGTCAACCAGCCATCCAGCTAGATTGGATATCTGCAAATTGAATCGCCTTTTATTGGATCCCATCATTTCTTCCAAGAACATCAGCATTCCTCACTGTTTGTAGTGTGGGACTGTAGTTTACAGCTGTACAGACCTCACCCACCAGCCTTGGGTACTGCACGTAGATTCGATACACCCATTGTTTCTTAGCTACCGTAATATTGAATTTATCCATATGGGAAGCGCATGCAATGGAGGACAACGGCAAACAAAAATGGCCGACTGAAAAAACAAATGCACACAAAGGACACACACACGACACCCATAAAAAAAATATAAACATTTAGAAAAAAACTTGCTAAATTGCTTATATATGAGTTACCATACCATACTCCTGTTAAACGAACCATTCTATGTTGCTCTTATCTTTAACGTTCCATATCACTGTTGACAGTATCGCACAACAAATTCTCGATGTGTACAATGACTATATTTCATATATTGTTGTTGAATGGCACACCCTTTTCTGAAAATTGGTGTGATTATCTTTACTTACACATGCATTGGGTAATGAATCTCACATTTTGATATCCCTGTGGGTTCCAAGTTAAGATTGTTGTCGTAAAGCTTGTGGGAAAACGTTTTTCATGATGAGTGCAAATGTGTCATCTAGGCCCCGCTGAAAACTTTTGATTAACAACCCAAATCTGCACACCTAATAGTCCAGAATCTCATCTTTAATGTGTTTGTTAATATTTTTTTGTATAATACTTATGTCCCATATGCAAAAATGAAAAAAATGTATGTATAATAGAGTAGCCAAACGAATCGGTTAACGTCATTGTTTGTTTACAGTGCCCATTCCGATTCCTATTTCCCATAAATTTTATGTATGTTTCTTTAACAAAATCTTTCGGTGCATTCATTTTGACAAAAAACATTATTGTGAAAAGTCTGTGATGTTAATAAAAGATACGCAATATGTGAAATGGAAGGGACCTATATGAAATGGATTTGGAATAAACAATTGTTGCAAACCCTAATAACGGTTGCTTACATTACATTGGTAAACGGCGACCTATGAGCTTAAGAAAAAAAAAAAAGAAATATTGATTCTACGAGTACTTGTTGACGTAAAAACTTGTAATCCTCAGTGATGGCACGAGTAATTGTTTGAGAAATTTAGACATGGCCTGCGTAACAAACTATTTTTTCGTAAATATAGCTATATGTAACCATTTTTGTAAGGTATAGGTCATCAATGACAATTGATGAAGGAACAAAGTAAATTGTAGAATTTGATGGTGCAGGAGCAAAGTTATACCCTCTTTATTCACATCTGCTATCTTGGTTCAGACATTTGCAATATTTGGGCTGTTTTCTATTTGACAATGTGAAAGATACCGAGTAGCGTGATCCATCTTTAACGGAGATCAGTTGTACAAATCTAGCAGTGACTGGTCTGTCACCGCAACCTGGGCTGGGACCGTGGGGTGTACTGAATTGAAACACCCTCTGGACAGTTCAGACAATTGTTTTGTGAAGCGAGGGTACAAGCTGTTCGCCACTTCCATAATCAGAACGCTAGTGCTGGAACAAGGACTTGACCCTCCCTCGCACCACCATCTGGCTTTGGTGTTGGAAAACACCTGACCACAGTTCGCATTTGGTATTGGAAAACAAAAATAACAGCGGCACTCAGAGCTGTTAAGTGCTCGGTGTTATGGTCTCTCGTCCCCACCCAGTTTCCGTGCTTCCTGCGTGTCCACTCGCATGCTTGACATCTCATCCCTTCAGTCACGACATAAGGGTCAGTTCTATTCGTAAAACTCTTAGTCAGTAAATTCAGGGCAAACTACCCTACCGTGCTTTCCTGCACCAAGCTCAGCAGAACAGCAACACACAGACAGACACAGCAACACAGCAACACGAAACCGTCTCACGACGAGCTCCATCCATTCCAACCTAAATATTAGTATGGAAACTTTCCTGAACATCTGGCTTACCGTCCGAGAGCTGCAACCTAGCATCCGCCTCATCGTCATCCCTAGCTGCCTCATGTAACGAGCTTCCCGATGGGCTCACCATCAGAACATAGGAGTCCCAGACACTCGTCAACATCACCGTCGATTTTTGCACTGTGCGAATCATCACCTGACGAGCCCCTAAGATTGGGTCGTCCACTCACCCTCCCACCTCCGCGAACACGCTGCTCACCTGCGTGGGATTTTCATGGCGAAACCCGCCGTGCGCGGACCTTGGATTCCGCGGTAGCGAACAGCCCAAAAAAAAACGCGGTTAGGCGGAATGACGCCTGCCGCGCGGCGTATCCCTCATCGAAATCCTATTCCGCCGCCGGCGGCGAAATCACAGATGCCGCGGAGGCTTGGCGGCCGGCCGCGCTCACCCCCGTGCGCAGCCCGCACGCGACCGTAGTGCGCCATAAAGCGACCGCGTCCATCGACATGGAGGAGCTTTGGGCGGAGGTAAGTTTCGAAGAATGCGCTCCGCCGCCCGAGTCGCCCGCCACTGGCGGCGGCGGCCGCGGCCGGCGGAAGAGCCGCGACAGGCACTCCAGGAACCTTTCCTTCTCCGACTTTCGCTCATTCCGAAGCGCGATAGGAGCTACCAAGGCTGTTGGTTCTTCGAACAGCGATGATAAACCGGCCGGCGATGAAGCCGCTGGCGAAATCTATCAGTCATCATGGCAAATGGACGGTCAAGATGCTGTTACAGCCACAGCTGACCCATCCGGCGACGCGTCGAGCGCGCCGGTCGTGCCGCAGTCTCCCGTCGCATCCCGGCGCTCACACGCATTTTCTCCGGCCGCCGCAGCGGAGATTCCCTCGGACTGCCGCCGCGAGTCGTGTCGGCTGATGGTGGCCCCTCGGCGGCGCAGCCGGGGTCAGCGGAAAGCCGTGGCGGCGCGCGGTCCGGGTGGATCATGCCACAATTAGCCGGTGGCGGCGGCGGCGGAAAAAACAATGCGAACGGCAGGGGTTCCGCCGTGCCGCCCGAGCTCCCGCGTTCGCCGCGTTGCTCCGCCGCCGGCGCTGCGGCGGTCGCGTGGGGGGAACAGGCAGGGAAAGGCTGCGTTCCGTCGCAGCCGTGGACAAGTTACAGCGACAAAGAGCCTGGGATAGCTGTCCGGGCGACAGGGAAGACAGGAAAGGCCGTTCAGAGTGCAACACTGCAGCAGCAGCAGCAGCAGCAGCAGGAGCGGCAGGAGCGGCCGTCACACAGGCGATGCCGCAGCTGGGGAGGCGGCGGTGGGCAGCAGGCACAGCAGCAGGAGGCGGAGTGGCAGTTCCAGTTGAGTCAGTTCGAAGCTGATACCACCTCACAGGAAGCCAGCAGGAGAAGGAGCGGTGGGCTGAAAGCACGGCAGCAGCAGCCTGCCGAGGAGGCGGAGTGGCAGTTCCAGTTGAGACAATCTGAAGCTGTCGGTACTACTACTGACTCAAAGCACGGCAGGAGACTGAGCGGCGGCAGTGCTACTACTAGTAGTTCTCATTCTAGTACTAGTACAGTTTTCACTAAAACAGCAGGCCGCGGCGGCTCCGCTGCTATGGGCAATAACAACAATGATAGTGCCAAGTACCTGAGGTTGACTCGGAGTGATACTACTACTAGTGATTCTAGTACTACTACTAGCAGTGACCGCCAGGCAATCCCCACACCCCACCTCTTTCGCGAAAGTGCTAGTACTAGCGCTGCTGGCGCGGGCGTTTCGCAGGAGGCGGAAGAACACGGTGCGGTGGAGGCGGAAGGATCAGTCGTGGTGGATGTTGGGATTCTGGAAG